ACAACTGATGTATCTATGGATTGTGATGAGTTGTATGAGCCCTCAATAAAATGATTTTAAAAATAAATAAGAACCACACTAGAAAAGAAAGCAGAAAATATTACAAACTTAATTTGTGAGCATTTGTTTTGTAGGCTATGGATAACAGTGGAAGCCAAAAATCCATTTGTATTAGGGTCTACACATGGATTAAACCCTTAGATCATAGTTGAGGCATGTGAGTCACCCAAGATCTTGTTCTCCAAGATGTTGGGGGAAAATCCGCCTTCATCCCCGACATTGGTGGCATCAAACGTGCTGTAAAGTCTTTTATGACAGAAGTTTTTAAATCAAAATGTACTGTCTTATCATTTAATCTCCCTTTTGGCCCATTTTTAAAGCTATTTTAGTTAAAAAAAAAAAAAAAGGGAAATAAATGTGGATTAAGCCCCTGGTGAATTCCCTCTGATCATGGACCAGGGATGTGAATAGTTAACATGCAGAATGCATCACAAAGTGGATTGTTGCAGATGCAGTTAGGTTGAAGTTTAGCACCCAATCATTTGCTCTCCCTTATGATTCATTTTAATTAATCGTTCTTCATTCCTAAAAGCTCATTTTGATAACTCATTTCCTTTGTTTTTATTAATGCAGTGTCTCACAAATCTTTAAAACAAGTTTCCCTTACAGCACTCTTATATCCTAAAGACCTTTAATGTTTACCTAGTATTCCATTGAAACATCCAATGTAAACAAATTTTAAAAGAACTGAGGTACAATCTGATTTGTGTTTCAGAACACCAGAAGCAGTGGGACGAGACTGCGAGCAGAAGAGGCAGAGTGAGGCATAGTGAAGTTCTCTGTAGGGCACTACTGCTGCCTGACAGGGGAAGAGGAAAGAGTGAAGCCCAGAATAATCCTCAGGTTTCCGGTTTGAACAACTGTAAGAACTGGTAGTTGAATTTCTCCATATAAGAATAATATATTTCAAATACATTAAGCAGTGTTTAGTCCCAGGTGAGTTAAGCTATACCAGGAGTCAGCAAACTTTTGACGTAGAAGAGCCAATCCTGTTCCTCACAACAATTTAAAACCTATTTGAGAGCCATAAATACATTTTTATAAAAAATGAAATCACCGTTATCTGAATAACATCATCAAAGCAAAACTATGACAGTTTTATTTTCATTTTCAATTTTACTCAAGAGCTGGTTTGCTAACCTAGGAGCTAAACCATGGTACTCATTATTCTAAATAAAAATATTCTTTCCCACAGAAGTTTAGCCTCAAAGGTAGGTCATCATTACAATCTAAGGAGAAGTGTGAAAGTTTCTAAAGCAACACTGGCGCCTTCCATGACAATTTTTCTAATTCAAAAGGTATTTTTATTTTCAATAAAATAAAGTCAAATATTTCCAATCTTTACAGAGATCAATTTCTTTTATTAAGATTAACTAGAGAAATATTTCATAAAATAAAAATATTAGAAATAAACAATCAAATTTCAAAATTACAAATAAAAGAAAAATTTTATCACAAAAATATTATCAAATATATTTTAAAATAAAAGTCATCTTGCTATTTTATTTTCATTTTCCATATTTTTTTAGTCTCGAAATCAGTTTTGCAAGCTAATGTCCTTTCATCGGTCAAACTCCTGCTTACCCAACATTAAAGTAGAAAACCGAAGCCCAAACTCACTGCCCTCAAGTCGATTCTGACTCACTGCGATTCGAAAGGCCAGGGTAGAGCTGCCCCTGTGAGTTCCCAAGACTAACTTTACCAGAGTAGAAAGCCCTCTTTCTCTTGAGGAGTGAGTGGCTGGTGGTTTCCAGCTGCTGTCTTTGAAGTCAGCAGCCCACGGGCCAACCACTACACCCCCAGGGCTCCATATTAAAATACAGATGTAAATATTTACTGAATACACCATTTTAGATGGATACCTATAATTTTATTTCTAAAAAGCATTTTGTGTAGTCAGCAGGATATTTACATTTAAATACTTCAATGTCACCTGTGTATATTAAGCAAGCAGGAACTACTCAAATGAAAAAGAAAAAAGGGTCTAATTTGGCTCTATCAACAGTGAAGATAATTTAAATGCAAGAAAACATGCTTAAAAAAACCCCAAAAACCAACAACCCAAATCATGTCTTATTACATCCACTTCTAAAGAGTACTTATCAAAAGCAATTTCTTTTAAGTCCAACATTTACTAACAGATGGGTTTTTTAAATGAACGGCATTTTCCTTCCAACTTGCTGATTTTATACTTGATTGATCGTTTTAACAAAATAATTTCAGAATATGTGATGAGCGGAATTAAACCATTTTCAACATTCTTTCTAGGAGGGTTTACTAACTTTTTAAATTTTTCACATGTACATTTGATACATGCCCACAGGTGGTAAACAGAATTACTTAAAACAGTCAACTCTCAATTTAACATCACTGCTTTTCCTTCTCTTACAAGAGTCATTACTGTGAACTCGCAGGCGCTGGTGCACAGAGGACGCCATCTTCCGGCTGCCTTTCTTGGTGGGGGTCTTCTCTATGGGTCCAGGTCTCCAAAGGAGCAATTGGCCATCTTCTCCGCCAGTCAGCAAAGACTCATTCTGCATATTCCAATGGAAAGAGCGGACTGTAGCAGCATGCCCTCCCTGCAGACTCATCACATGGGTCAGTCCTGAGGCAGTACAGCTCAGCAAGCAAATGTTCCCTGTGTTTGTTCCTCCAACAACAAATAATCTGTCCATCTTTTCATGATAAAGGCCACCAATCAAATAGTCCAAGATATCTTCTTTCACATTAATCACTTCTCTGACATCGTGGATATCTAAACATGTAATTGGCTCATCCGTTTCTAGATGATTGAGATCCCACCAACAAAATCCTTCATCATGCGTCATGCAGTAAATTTGCTTATAATCTTTCCCAGACCAACCAATACAGCTCACAGATGAAATAGAATTGCAGGTTGTAACTAGTGCATCCTCTTCATTATCCACACTGACATCAAATACATTTACAAGACCATCAGTTGAACCTGAGACTACCATGTTGGGGCTGCTGGGATGGAAACATACTTGAGTGATATCATCACTGTGCGTCTCTGAATATGTGCCAAGAGGGTCTCTAAAAGTGGACAAATCCTGAGAATTAATTCTTGCATCCCAAAATACCAACAATGCATCCTCATCAACTTTTTCTGTCCCAGCACAAATGACATGATCGTCACAATTGATGTCAAAGCTGATAAACACATTGGAAGGGTAACCTTTGAACAGCTGGACAGGTTTTGTGCTGGCTAGTCGAGCATCCCAACATTTCACAGTGCCATCGGTACATGCTGAATATACTCTGTCACAGGAATTTGCAAATCTGACGCCATTAAGAAGTCCAGGGTGTCCACTAAATTCATGCAGTACATTCAACCTTTCTTTATCATATACTCTGATGGATCCGTTAGAACACAAAGCAGCAACCAAGCTTCCTTTTTCTGCTTGCGCTGTCCTTGAGATGTCTATACCAAGTAGGTAAGTGGGTTCTTTATTTTCTGAAGAACGCTTGACAATTTGCAGATTAGCAAACTGTTCTTCAATCTTCTCCATATCAAGAGTAGCATTCAAAGATAGTAAAAATCTGCAATAAAAAAAATTGAATGAAATTTCTCTGAAATTATAATTATATAAGCAAAAGTGGTGAAGAAAGCTGATGGTGCC